GATTAACCCTGAGAGACCGAATACCCAACACAGAATTGCGCCGTAGATCGGGAGTAACCGACGCAATCAAAAGAATATCAACCTTAAAATGGAACTGGGCAGGGCACGTCGCGAGAACGAAGGACGGCAGATGGACAAAACGCATTCTTGAGTGGAGACCCAGACAAGATGCCTTTAGAAATAGAGGACGACCACCAACAAGATGGACGGATGACCTGAAACGGACACATCAAAATTGGATGCAGGCTGCTCAGGACAGAAATTTGTGGGGTGAACTACGGGAGGCCTATGTTCAGCAGTGGACGAGTATGGGCTGAATGATGATGAATAAAAAACTTAAAATTCCGTCAAAGGATGAACTGAAATACAAATTAATCATTTATAGGAATGATTAGGATACAAAGCCTAACAAAATAAAAAAAAATTGGTGCTCGAGAAATAATGAATTTTAAATATCTTTTAAATATCTTTGATTTCAATAATGATTTCTTTGATAGTGGTTTGTTTGGAATTGATTGTATGATTTTAACTTCCTTCGAAAATATATATACAAAGGCATCTGGAAATCACCACACGGACTTACAGTAAATATTATAGATAAAGATTGTAGATTCAAGACACCAATCAAATATAATAAACGACCGCACCAGAAGACGAGCAAATGTGGATTCTGATCACTACTTGGTCGAAAGTAGGATAGAAACTAAGAAGATGGAATTTCTGATGAGGCCAAAAATGTTTTAGATTATGTAACAACAAAACACTGAAAACTTTGTTTTCAAACTTCCACAAAAATTTATTTTAACTCTTATCACTACAGCTGTTTCAGCTGATTGCCTTTCTCAAGTGATCTATTTTTGGCATGCATTTACACTTTATAGTCTCTAATGAAATAGGTTGAGGAGGGGAGAACTGTTTGTTTCGAGTTGGTCATACAGAATTATATTTGTGTTTTTTAATTTGTTGATTTCCATAAATTCTAACAAGGATAGCTTAAGGCCTTTATTTTGAATGTGAAGAATTTTAAATTCGTCGTTAAAAGAATGATTGTGATCTAGAAGGTGAAGTGCGTATGTAGAATCTGTTTTTCTATTATTGAAAACCATTTTATGTTCTGCTATTCGTTTGTTAAAGTTTCTACCAGTTTGACCGATTTAAGTTTTTGGGCAGTCGCCACATTTAAGTTTGTACACACCACTGTGTAAGTGTTTTTTATTTTGGCTTTTGTTGTTTTTAATATATTTGCCTAGGTTGGTATTTGTTCGGAAAGCTGGTGTTATTACTTTCTTTTTTATGTGTTTGGCTATTTTTGTTGTAATTTTGCCTGTATATGTAATCAGACAAAAGGTACTGGGTTTTTTCCTTCTGTTCGATTTCCTTCTGTTCGAAAAAAACCCAGTACCTTCTGTTCGATTACATATACAGTCAAAATTACAACAAAAATAGCCAAACACATAAAAAAGAAAGGAATAACACCAGCTTTTCGAACAAATAACAACCTAGGCATATATATATATATATATATATTTATATATAATATATATATATATATATATATATATATATATATATATATATATCAAAAACAACAAGAGCCAAAATAAAAAACATTTACACAGTGGTGTGTACAAACTTAAATGTGGTGACTGCCCAAAAACTTACATCGGTCAAACTGGTAGAAACTTTAACAAACGAATAGCAGAACATAAAAGGGCTTTCAATAATAAAAAAACAGATTCTACATACGCACTTCACCTTCTAGATCACAATCATTCTTTTAACGACGAATTTAAAATTCTTCACATTCAAAATAAAGGCCTTAAGCTATCCTTGTTAGAATCTATGGAAATCAACAGATTAAAAACCCAGATATAATTCTGACTGACCAAATGGAGACAAACAGTTCTCCCCTCATCAACCTATTTCATTAGAGACTATAAAGTGTAAACGCGTGCCAAAATAGATCACTTGAGAAAGGCAATCAGCCGAAACAGCTGTAGTGATAAGAGTTAAAATAAAAATTTTTGTGGAAGTTTGAAAACAAAGTTTTCAGTGTTTTATTCTTACATAAAATGAATTTCCATCAAGTAACGGTCGAATCCATCAAATGTTTTAGATTATATTGATATATTAGATGTTCGTTTGTAATAATCCATTTAAAGTTTTTTTTATAAAAGTATTGCTTTTAGTTATATACTCTTAATAAGACTTACGCTAAATAAAAAGTAAATTCTTCGCTACTAATACGCTTATTAGTCAAGCTCATAGGAACAGCTAAATTTTACGATAAAGGAAGATATCACTCGTATGTACAAGCATTTCATTATTTCTTTGTTGGTGTAAAGGAATTAAATATTTTTACAAACTTCAATAAAACTTTTCTTTTCCATTCTTTTAAAATAAGAAATTATTTTTAGTGTCCATATTTAAAATATATGCAATATAGGTTTAAAGTTCGTTCTAATAAATGTCATACCATATAGGGAGATCCATTTAATAAAGCTAAGAAATTTTTAAGTACGCGTTTTGAATTACCTTATATGTGAAATATTATTTTATATTCAAATTCTGATACTGTTTCATAATAAAATTGGTAATATCTTGTAAAACACTCGCTATAAGGTAGCATAAACCTCTATTGAGAGAATCCTCAAGAGCAGTTTTATAGAAATTCGTAATAATATTATATTAAGAGATATTATATTATGTACAATGACATATATATTTTTTGAAAAAAAGTACAAAAATACAACAATGTAGTAAAAACACCAAATTAATCTTTTTATTGGACAATCATAACTTTTTGGCATTGAAAATAAAGAATAAACTATGTTAAACATTAAAACAATATGTTGCTAAACAATAAAAAGTTATATCAATTAAACTAAACATTATATTAACTTTGAAAAAGTAAAATGTAATCCTGCAATTGAGAGTTTTTAGATAAGGGACCTGGAATAGCCTCATCTTCTTCCGGTTTTTTGTACCATTAAAGTTAATTTAAGAAGGTCCGGCTTTGGCTGAAGCAAATGAAACATTTCATTACAAGTCTAATCAAAATTTACATACACCTCCATCGCTGCATTGAGAGTGGAAATGGACATTTGTGACTTTTCCGACATCCAATAATGATTTATTATAGAAAATAGACGCTCAATAGCTGCACTAATATAATAATAAGTGGTTAAAAATAGTAAAAGATAACAATATTCATTCTTTTAGAAAAAATAAGTAGGTACATTCACGTGTCCTTAGAAGGACTTTAAAGTAATTGATGGATTCGACCGTTACTTGATGGAAATTCATTTTATGTAACAATAAAACACTGAAAACTTTGTTTTCAAACTTCCACAAAATTTATTTTAACTCTTATCACTACAGCTGTTTCGGCTGATTGCCTTTCTCAAGTGATCTATTTTTTGCATGCGTTTACAATTTATAGTCTCTAGTGAAATAGGTTGAGGAGGGGAGAACTGTTTGTCTCAAGTTGGTCATTCAGAATTATAGCTTAAGGTATATAAGATAGCTTAAGGCCTTTATTTTGAATAAAGTTTTATTATTACCTTAAGCTATCTTTGTTAGAATTTATGGAAATCAACAAATTAAAAAACACAGATATAATTCTGAATGACCAACTTGAGACAAACAGTTCTCCCCTCCTCAACCTATAAGCTAATAAAGCTTTATTCAAAATAAAGGCCTTAAGCTATCTTTGTTAGAATCTATGGAAATCAACAAATTAAAAAACACAGATACAATTCTGAATGATCAACTTGAGACAAACAGTTCTCTCCTCCTTAACCTATTTCATTAGAGACTATAAATTGTAAACGCAAATAGATCACTTCAGAATGGCAATCAGCCGAAACAGCTGTAGTGATAAGAATTAAAATAAATTTTGTGGAAGTTTGAAAACAAAGTTTTCAGGACTTTAAAGTAATGATATAAAATAAGGAAATTTTAGTTAACTCCCGGTATGGAAATGATAGAGGACTTTAAATATTTTAGATAAATTGGGAATATCTAAAAAATGCCTTATTCTTAATTTTCAGATAATAATTGAGGATTATATAAAAATTAAAATTAATGGGAAAAAACCCCGTAATTGGCTGTATACCATCGTTTAAAAAACACAAAAGTTAAAACACTTCACACATGTGTATTGTGGTATAAAAACAAACAAATATTTAAAACTTTATGAAAGTGTCGTCAACATTTAAATTCTGGCAGAACGTTTTCAATCTGAACAGATCATCCTCAGTGCCTTGTGTATGTGTTGCTAACAGTAAAGTTGTCTATAAGACCTCCATGTATGGATTTACAGTATTCCAAATTTTACATTTAATAATGTTTTAACTCCAGGTCGATGACAATAGATATATTTTTAAAATTACTTGGTATTTATCAGTTGAAACGACACAGACCAACTCTATATAACAGTTGGTCTGTGTCGTTTCAACTGACAAGTACCACGTGCGAATATTCGAGCAGGGAGACATGTAGTCCCTAAAGTAATTTTAAAAATATATCCATTATCATCGACCTGGAGTCAAAACATTATTAAATGTAAAATTTGGAATACTGTAAATCCATAAATGGAGGTCTTATAGACAACTTTACTGTTAGCAACAAATACACAAGGCACTGAGGATGATCTGTTCAGATTGAAAACGTTCTGACAGAATTTAAATGTTGACGACACTTTTATAAAGTTTTAAATATTTGTTTGTTTTTATCCCACAATACACATGTGTGAAGTGTTTTAACTTCTGTGTTTTTTTGATTATATAAAACGTTTAATTGGAATTTCCGATGAATCACCCTATATAGGTGACATATTGTTTTTATAAAGTATGCTAAGTTCAAGGCTTGGTGAATATATAATGCTATTGCCTAAACTGGAATCTACTTTTATAGTTAGTATGACATGAGTGTCTTAAAAAATTTATCTAATCGTGCTTCTCTTACCATACATTTAGTTTATAAATATTTCAACTTACCTTCTGACTCTACCGGTAGCATCATCCTGCATAGTATTTCTTGGAGGTTGATACGCTGTCCTTCCGGTAACAGCTCTTCTAGCAGCTTGTTGCGCTGATGGCCCAGGTGGCGATTTGGAAACAAACTCATCGCTGCTACTAGAGCTATTCACTGTTTTATCCGAACCAGCAGGAGATCTTTTTAATTGAGATCTGTGATGGATCAATCGATTTGTTCTTCCCGAAGGTGAAATCCTGTCAGACCTTACTTGATTTGCAGTTGATTTTTCACGCTCGCGTTCTCGATTCGGCAACGACACAGCCTTTTCTCTAGTAGTTGCAAGTTTCTCCCTTTCACGAGTAGATGTTGTTCTTGTTATTGGCAGCATACTGATATTAATCGAGGAGCTGTTGTTATCTTCCTCGTCTGCGTCTTGATAATGATCGATTGAGGAGTCTGTGTTTTCTGAGAGGCGAGGCATTATGTTACCTGGTCGGTTAAAGCTGCTGTCTAGACTTCGAAAGCCCATGGAGGAAGACGACGAGGAAGATGAGCCTCTGTGGAAAAAAACTTCATTTAGAAAAAAAAATTTTAAATAAAAGATATGGTAAAAAAACTAACACATTACAATGTTTGTAGATGTGACTGGATTAGGGATAGTTTTATTAGACTGGACAACCATCAAATTTTGTCTTTTCCAAATTAGATTTTGCTGAGGAGTTTAGTACTCTATTGCCTAATCAATATATATATATATATATAATATATATATATATATATATATATATATATATATATATATATATATTAGGATTATATTCAAACTGTTTATTTTTGTTTATTTTTTTAACATAGTTTACGTTTAATAATTTTTGATTGGCTAGATTTGTTCTAAACTGTTGCTTTCTTCCCCATTTTTTAAATAAGCATCCTTATGTTCGTTTTCCATGCTATTTATTAATTCTTTTAAGTCTTCTTCATTTTATAGTTTATCAAGGATATATTTCGGAAGTTCTGTATCTTCTAAACCAGGGTGTTCAAACGTGAACTGCTGGCGATCTACCTCAATATTTTTAGACTACTTACGATCGACTCTGAGAGACTGCAAGTGTGTGTAATGCAGGGTTGTCGTACATACACGATACACCCTACCTACCTAGGTAGGGCGCACGGTAGCATATATAGATATTAGCTTTCTGTACAATATAGGTACATTATTTTAGTCAAGGTTTAGGTTAGGTTTAGTTAGGTTCTTCTCTACAATATCAATGAAAAAACTCATAATCATTCAAAATTGCGAATTTATTTGTTGTTACAAAACAAAAGAGTTACATATGGTGTTAAACTTAACTAAGGAGTGGCTTTGGATGTTGAAGCGTGGCACTGCATGTCCTCAGCATACTTTTCATAAGATGGTACGTAACCACTGAGTGCTAATCGCAAGCATGATGTCATACGATCGTCAGTTAGTCGATTGCGATATTTTGACTTAATTATCTTCATTTCAGAAAGTGCAGACTCGCACAAGTAAGTTGACCCAAAAAATGCCGTCAGTTGAAGGGTGATTTGCCTTACATTCGGATATTTATCTTCAGATATAAAACGCCAGAAATTTGTATCAGATACAAATTTGTATCAAGCTTTGAGATGTATATCTGATATAATCTGCACCAACTCATTTTCAACAGAACATGAGTTCATATTAAACTGACTTGCTATTTCAGTAGCTAATTCCTCAATGTTTTTACATGAAAAAGGATAACTCATAAATGATGCTATATTTTCCAATTTACTGCAATCATAAAAACGCATTTCGAATTGTCCCAAAATATTTGATAATTCAGCCTCATACGTATCATAATTCAACTGAGGAATCCTTGCTTTCAAAGACGGAAAATGTTTCAGATCCTTTCTTTTCAGTTGATCTATCATAAGTTGCAATTTACTTTTGAATGAGTTTACTGCGCTAATCATCTCAATAATAGTTTTTCCTTTACCTTGAAGCTCCAAGTTAATGGTGTTTAAGTGCATTGTGATGTCAGTCAAAAATGCCAAATCATTTAGCCATTTTTCGTTTTTCAAAATCTGAGTGTCATCACGTCTTTCGTCTAGAAAAGCTGTTATTTCGGGCAATAATTCTTGAAACCTTTTTGGGAATTTTCCGCGACTCAACCACCTGACGTCCGTGTGAAGAATTAAATCAGTTTGTTCAGCTGACTCCCTATCTTCCAACTGCAACTGAAAGAGCTGCCATTGCAAGCTACGTGCACGACGGAATTCACAATTTTTGTTGCAATGCCCATAATTTCCTCTCTGTTTAAAACTTTTGAACACAAAACTTGTTGATGTATAATGCCATGGAATGAAAAAAATGAAGGGAATTCTTCATTAGCTCGACACAATGCCACAAAACCGTTTTTGTTTCCAGTCATTGCTGGTGCTCCATCGGTTGTAATGCACATTAATTTATATATTGGTAGCTCGTAGTTTTTTACAAAATTTAAGAAAACGTCATATATATCTTCGCCACGGGTCTTCTCCTTCAGAGGAATGATTGTCAAAAATTCTTCCTTAGCCAACATGTCATTGAATATCATCCGAATAAAAATACACAGCTGGGCAGTGTCTGTCATATCGATGGATTCGTCGAACTGTAAAGAAAAGTATGTACATTCCATGATATCATGTTTTAGTTTATCTGCGATGTCTTGACTCATGACTTCAATACGCCTTGTGACAGTCGGACGAGATAACTGAAGTTCTCTAATAGCAGACATGATTTCTGTTTTATTTTTAAAATCTCCAAATAAAGTCTCACCCGCTTCAATAAATGCTTCCTTCACCACCGATCCATCTTCAAATGGTTTCTTGTGTTTCGCCAAAATATGAGATATTTTAAATGACGCGATCGTAGCAGCTTTTGATTGCTTGGCTGGTCTTGTGAACATGGATTGTTCTTTTTTCAAACAAGATATCAAATCACTTACTTTTCGTTTTCTTAATTCACTCTGTCGCGGAAAATCCTTTTCATAGTTTTTATGAACCGTTTTAAGATGCCTCTCTAAGTTACCACGCTTAGGTATTGCAACTGACACACGACAAATAACACAAATGCACTTATCCTTCACCATAGAAAAGAAAAATTCTTCCTCCCAATCCTTATTAAAATAATACGTTTTAGATTTCTTCACTGCACTCATTTTCCACTATTTAATAATAAACTTTGTATCGACGTAGGATCGCTATTAAGTTACAATTCAGAATAACTCCAACTCCTGCAGGCGCAACATTTATATTGGCGTGAACGAAAGTCTCGAATGTTCCCGTCAAACGCGCCGCCCGAAACTAGACTGTACTGTCTCTCGTTTAGAAACAACATGGCTTTTCTTTGACAAGTGCCGCGCGTTCCTTTAATAAAGCCACCTTTTGCCGCAAGCAGTGTTATTTTAATACTTAATACATTTTTGTAGTTGATAGAATATCATCCCAAATTTGATTAATAATTATAATAAATATTGAATTAATAAAATAATTAGTTAATATATGTAAATATAAAATATGCTGTGTGGACAGTATTTTGTTGTCCCCAGTTATATGTATAAATTTTGGTCAATCGTCAAATTCGGATATTGAGTACAAGATATATACCAATACATTGTATAAGGTACTATGCGCTCTTCGTTAGAAATTGTATGTTTGTATATTTTACATGTGGGATGGAAAAATAATAAACACATATTTGCGTAGTATGATTAAAATTTAAACCGTGTTTAAAAAATTTCGTTGTTACATTACATCGTTGTGCTATATTGTTTTACCCTTAAAAAAATCCATGGCAGATATAGTATTTATATAAATAATCTTACTTGTAATGCTGTAGGAACAGTGATCTTCTTCCGGTAGTCGTATCTTCCAGAGATTTAGTCTGAGGCATTCTGTTTATATTTCTAGGAGGTTTTTCTATCACTGGAGACACAGACTTACTGCCAGAGATTGAGGCAGGTTTTAGGGAAGTCGATTGAGGACTGATTTTCCATTGTGGAGACGGTGGCGACTTTCCACTGGTGTTCCACAAGGGAGATGGCGGTGATTTTCTGTTTTGGCTCCAAAGTGGTGAAGGAGGCGACTTTTTCCTACCGGCCCAAAGAGGTGAAGGCGGTGGCGATTTCCTAGAGTTCCAAAGTGGTGAAGGTGGACCGTTATCTATCGATTTCCATTTGGGAGAAGAAGGTGATTTGTCACGCGTGTTTCGTAAAGATGAAGGTGTTGATTTGCCCATTTTATCTGAAATTGAAAAATAAATTAAAGAATATAGAATTTCATATACATTACTCTCCAAAATTAACACACCGCATTACATCTACCATAAGTTTAACATGAAGCAATTTTTCTTCTCAACACTTGTTGGATTTCGACTATTATTATTTTACATTATAGATCTGTTTCTACAAAATTACTGAACCACCGTTTTTTGAGAAATACCAACGTGCTAGCCATATGCGGGGCGTAAAAATAAACTTGCGTTTTTCATCTTATTTTGCAACACCCTGTAGAATTTATTAAAAACAAACTCTATATATTATTAATATTGTGACATAGCTTTTTGTAAAATAATGATCTTGATATCCCTCTTATAAAAAAAAGTATGTTCAAAGCATAACGTGATTTCATTAAATTGTAATACTCAATGGAATGGAATATAAGAAGTTGAGAACCGTCGTTGAGTTGAGTGTTAAATAATATCGTTAGTTTAGCAAATCCATTTTTAGGTCCAGGAGCTTTGCCATCATTAATTGGTCATTATTTATGTAAGATGGAGGATGTTCGGATCTATTACTATCAAAGAGTTCATGTACGCATTTGGCCCATATGCAAGTTTTTTTCTGTGATGGTGTTCTCTTGCTAGCTGTTTTGTTTAACCATTTTATGCATATTAAACCTATGGCGTTTTTGTTCCAACAACTCTATGTCTTCACACTGTGATCCTAACCTCTTTAACTTTTCGTAGTTTGGTTCTTCTGTGTCTGTGAATATTGTTTTACATTCTTTTGTTGTTCCTTTTTCATCAAGGAAGAATATCATATATTGAGCTCTTGTTAAAGGTTACACTTACATTCTGGAGTGATTCTTCTGCATTATAAGTTTGCTCTATGTTACTTAGCTTCTCTGAAAGAATCCGTGTGACTGTCTCTTTTATTTCCTTACATTTTAGTCAACGCAAAAAAGATATTAACTCGTTCGCTGCCGATCACGCGCCAGTGCGTGATGGTCGTACTTGGAAAAAGGCCGATCACGCGCCAGTGCGTGATATAGCTGTAAGCTCTATAATGTAGGTTTTTAAATACGGCTTATGGAATGAGTTTAAAAATAAGTGTCGGCCTGCTAGGATTGATCATAGGTTATGATTTACATTGCGCGGTTTTTGATTTGACAGTACCAGTGTATGTTGACAGTCTAGTGAAAATGGCGGAAAGTAATAACATTGTGGCAGGACCTTCTCAACCAAAAAAGGTAAAAATTGATTTAAAACAGCCTTTAAGTGAAAAAGAACTACTATATTTACTGGAACATGACAGCTCCGACGAGGACGAGATGGTATTTGGTGATTTGGATGAATCGGACGAAGTATATTCTGAGGATTCTGAAAATGATATTGGTGTACAACAGTACGTGTTACAAAATAATGATAATGAACGTCCACAAAACCTTTCTCATAATCAAGACCAGTCTATACAATTTTCTTTGAATCCAACCACAATGAAAGATGTTTTTGAATTTACTGAACACGAAAGATTATTAGTAGACGTAACTGGAATGACACCGTTTGAATATTTTAGATTGTTTGTGACAGACGATTTTATTACAAAAATTTGTGATTTGAGTAACAGTTACGCCATTAATCTATTTTTATCTGAAAGAACATGCTTTAAATCCAGGATAACTAACTGGAAACAGTTAACTTCTGAAGATTTGTTACTGTTCATAGGCTTACTGTTACACATGGGCAATATTCGAATAAACCGTGTCCAAGACTATTGGCGACAAGATGAGTTATATAGCATTGGGATATTTCACAAAGTTATGAGCCGAAATCGGTTTTTATTGATAATGCGTTGCCTGAATTTCACGGAAAATAGAGAAAATGGTATTTTACCTGAAGACAAATTATTGAAGATTAGATACCTAATTAATTTTTTTAACGAAAAAGTATGTGCACTGTATTATCCAGGACGGGAGCTAAGTTTAGATGAGTCTATGGTGTTATGGCGAGGCAGACTTCAATTTCGCCAATATATAAAAAATAAGAGGCATAAATATGGCATTAAATTATACATGCTGACAACCCCAACTGGTATGGTTTTAAAATTTGCCGTTTATGCAGGAAAACTGGACGATCTGGGTGGTAAAGATCATGCATCAAAAGTGGTAATGCATTTATTGGACGGTTTTTTGGAAGTAGGACATAGTGTGTATATGGACAATTATTATAACAGTTTTTTATTAGCTAGAACACTATTGAATCATAAAACACACTGTACGGGAACTTTAAGATTGGACAGAAAGCATGTACCGAAGGAAATAAAAGACAGTAAGTTAAAAAAAGGTGAAGTAATGGGAAGGTATGCAGATGGAGTACTCATAGGAAAATGGAGAGATAAGAGGAATGTGTCCTATATTTCTAATGAATATCGAAACATAATGGTGGATGTACCAAATAAAAGACAACAAATTGTATCGAAGCCCTTACCGATCGTTCAATACAATAAGTATATGTCCGGTATTGACAGACATGACCAAATGCTCTCTTATTACCCGGCAGAGAGAAAGACATTAAGATGGCCTACGAAGATGTTTATCCACGTGCTGCAATTGATGCTTATCAATTCACACCATTTATATAACAAATACTCTACCCAAAAAATAAGTCTTTATGACTTTCGTATTCGAGTCATACAAAGTTTATTAGCCCCGGCCCAGAAGAGGGCAGAAGAAGACCAAGCACACCGACGACCCCCAGAAGTTGGTCACATTATGTCACAAAGAGTGGCACCACCAGGTATTAAGAAAACACCTAGAAAACATTGCAAGTTATGTTACGAAAATGGAAAAAGAAAGGATACTATCTACACATGTAGGTCGTGCCCCAGTGAACCAGGATATTGTCTAGATTGCTGTACCATTATTCATAAATAAGTTACAAATGTTTAATCCACAGGGACATTTGTGGTTTGATCACTTATTTTAGTTTTTTTATTTATTTTATTTTGATCTGAGTAATATTTTTGTTTTATAAATTTTTTATGTATTGTTCGTTTTATTCGAATTAGTATATATAATATAATATAAATATAGTTTCTGTTTTCGTATTATAATAACGTCGTTTTATTGTCTCACTCTATGGCGTGATACGGCTAATTGAGATGAAATTCCTGGGACCACACCGATCACGCGCTGGCGCGTGATATCACAAAGTATATCTAATGACAAAAAAATTAGTTGACATAGCTTTAGTGCAACTATTCAAGCAACTTTTCTAAATAACATTTAAACGAAAAATTCAAAAAACGTTGTCGGCCCCTACTATATATTGCATTTTAAAGATCGGCAGCGAACGTGTTAACAAGAATTTTTTAAATCGAGTAGTTTTTTCAATAAGTACTTTATTAAATCGAATAATTGATATATCTTACCCAACTTCCATTGTGGAGAAGGAATAGGTTTTCCGCTTGGATTCCACAGAGGAGATGGTGGAATCTTCCCTGTTTTCTTCCACTGTGGTGTAGAAGGGGGACTCGCATCGCTGTCTTCAATAGCATTCGATCGAGGAAGAAAAGGAGTTTTTCCAAAAAACGTCCTACTCCTCTTTATAAGACCTAGTGGAAAACGTTAAAATAATAAGTAATGTTTGACCAAAAGAGCAAGTAATCATTAACAATTAATTTTATTATTTACTATCTTCAGTGGGATTTCAGTTTAACATAGGTCTATTTTTACGTTTTGATTTGCACTACAATTATTTGATGAAATTGTGTTTAATTCTCATTAAAGATAATATATAATATTAAAATGAGATTAACACATATTCCGATAAAGAGATGTATTATCCTAAATGGCCTCCTTCAAAATTGGCGTTCCAAGAGGTAATATGTTACGTGAATATTAATAAATAAAGTGATATAGAATACTGCTTTATTTATTTAGGTTTATATGACCTAGAAATATTTACCGATGGTAGTGAATGTTTTATCTAGCTTCTTTTTACTTTTATACGTTACACTAGGGTTTGTATTATCTTTAATATCGCTTAAACGATATTCAAAAATAAAATAAAAAATAAAAGTACACGATTTAACGCCTGTATACTTTTGATTTTCGGATACGTGGATACTGGACACTGACGCAAGCAACTGAAAAACGAATCGAAGCCTTCGAGATGTAGATATACAGAAGGATACTAAAAATATCTTATGTGGACCATGTCACCAACGTTGAGGTCCTACAGCGCATGACAAAAGAAAAAGAAGTGCTTAATTTGATTAAACAACGTAAGCTTGAGTACCTCGGCCACGTGATGCGGAACGAAGAAAAATATCGAATTCTTCAATTCGTTTTGCAGCGTAGTAAAGTATTTGGCAGAAGAGGACCGGGACGCCGTCGTATCTCGTGGTTGAAAAATTTCTGGTAATGGTTTGGGATGACCTGAGCGGAGCTGTTTCTTAGAGCAGTCAACAAAACCATCATAACCTTGATGATCGCCAACATCCGGACCGGATAAGGCAATGAAGAAGAAGAAGTGGATACTACTAGAAGTGGTGATATTTAATTATTTAATTATTTAATTAAAAATCCTTTGTAATAGGTATATATTTAAGGCCCAAACGGGCTAAGTTAAAAAGACATAACGTTTTCGGAAACCATGTTTCATCATCAGTGTCTAAGAGTACATGAATATAGCCACCAAGATTAAATATATGGGTAAAAACCCGTTAACAGATGTTTAATTACATTTAGTTTTAAAAACACGTTATAATAATTTAAGATTATAGAGTTACCGATGGATTAGGTAACATGGCGACATATGACTCCACGTTGAAGTTGATAGTCCTGAGACGGTATGTCTTCGAGGACTGTATGAGTGCAACTCATATTTGGTGATATTTCTTTTATAACGACAATAAATATAATCACCAATTACATTAAACTAATGATATTTAAAATTTGAGTGTGTGAGACTCATCTCAAAAATAAATGTGTAATAAGTCTCAGCAATTGCAGCTATCCTACCCACAAAATGAGAACAATAAGAAAGGCCATATAACTGCTAACATAAGAAAGCCTCAATTGTAGATATGACGCCCATATCTACACCTAACTTGAGAATCACCAGTCAATAAAGCAAACATCGAAATTCAAAACAAAATGTCACAAATCCTTCTTATTATTTTTTTACGTTAGGACTAAGTCCTGTGCTATCCTATTTGTATTTCTTAGAGGCCGTAATTTTATTTTCTTGATGTATTAGGAGGGTAAGTATAAGCCTAAGTTTAAGTTTGTGGGATCGCCACAGTTGTTCCCTGGACGCCATCTTGGAAAAAGGGAGGAAAGAGTTTTTATAAAAGCTTTCTGAGTTAGCTACCGGAACAGCATTATAACTTACTGAGAAAGCCTTCGGAAAGAGACTTACTGAAAAAATCCTCCTGTCAACTTAGACGATATTTTACTTCCTGCATATTTTATAGCAAAATTTAACAGCAACGGTGACAAGGGGTCACCCTGCCTAAGTCCTGAATTTTTACCAAATGGCATCGATGTTCTGCTTCCTATCTTTACTTGCGCAAATGAGTCTTTCACGCACATTTGCGTTAATTCAACAATTTTTCTTGGTATTCCCATTTTTAACATTGCTATCCACAATTTGCTTTTTTTATGGAATCATATGCTTGCTGGAAATCTATGAAAATTTGGTGCACATCGAGGTTGAATTCCCAGTTTTTCTCTAATATTTGTTGGATGGTAAATATCT